AGCGCCAGCAAAACCAAGACCAAGAAGAAGCATTTCGTGTGCCAGAAAGTGAAGCTATTCCGGGCCAGCGAGCCGATCCTCAGCGTCCTGATGTGGGGGGTGAACCACACGGTAACCAGCTTCCCCATGCGCGCCCCTGCTCCCCCGGGCCTCGCCACGCTCGCCCCGCGGGTGACGCCTGCAACCCCTCCGCCGAGCCACTTGCATGCCCGCCCACCCGTGCACGCTGTCCGGCCGGGCGTGCACTCCCGGTTCGCCACGCGAGGCCTGCTGTCCCCGTGCTATGCCATCGCCGTCTCCCCTTCTCTCCAGCCCCTCTGGCTTCCTGCGTCCGAATGCTTGCTCTGTGCAGCCCCCGGAGCTCCGAGGGAAGGCCTGGGTGCTGCGACGATGCCCCTTCTAACCTCAGCCTGCTTGTTGCATGGCTATTCCCCTTGTCCCTTATAGCCCAGTTGACAGGGCAAGTGGCACTGGCTTGCCTGACTATTCCTGTTTGTGGTCTTTTGGTTGGTGTGGCTGTTCAAAGTTTCCCATCTTCTGGGCCTTCTTACCCCTGGCTGTGGAAATCCTCTCTGGGTTTCCTTTTTCTTCTTCTTCATGAAGATACCAACTGGAGAAGCAGAGGCTTCTCCGATCCACAGACACTTGACTTGGGCCCCTGTGGATGAATAAGAGGGAACACAAGGCCTGAGAGAGTGTAGATCTCGTTATAGAAATAATGTCTTCCCCGATCTTCTGTGGTGTTCATTTCAAAGACATTGACTTCTACTTCTTGTCTATCCCATGGTTTTCTAGGATGTGATAAAGATGATTGTTGTCCAAGATGAGTGGGTCGTGCCACCCCCCCCCCCGGGTGCTCTGAGATTGTGCAGTAGCCTCTGCCAAAAAGTTGGATGTGGACAGTTGGAGCTGGTTGACTTTGTGTGCTGTTTGTTTGAGGTCTGTCCGCTTCCTCTTTAGGGCTTGCTCCTTGCCTTCTGACCATCTCTCTGTGAGTCCCTACACTCGGAACAGGCGAGTGAAAGGACCCCAAGTTTAGAATGAGTGAAATGAAGTGTTGAATCTCCTGTGGGTTTCATTCTTGAGGCTCTGTGGCTCTTCTGAACACTTGAAGTTGTCTTAAAGACCAAACAATGACCCAGGGGCTTAAGGTCAACAAGACTTCATCTTCTGTTGCTTTGGTAGAAGATCTAGAGAAGCCTTTGGCTGGGCCAGTGTGTCAGATCTCTATGTCCTATATAGAAGAGACTGTGCATTTGAGGTCCTTGCAGGCCTCTTGGTCTTGGGCAGGTTCCCCTTTCCATGTCATCACTGGGGTTAATGAGTATCCTGGCAGGGTAGTATGATGCTTGGACCTCAGAAGCTGCTGGAGGTCGACAGCGAACAGAGTTTGTTCCTCTTGCTTCCTGCTGCTTCTGGGGTCACCTGACATTCCCAGGGAAACTGGGTCAGCAAAATGTGAACTGTATACCCCTTTCTGGAGGTCAGGCCTTGGTCTTGTGTGACATCCTGCTTCTGACTAGAAAGCATCCTGTCTGTACACAGAGCTGGTAGAAGCCTGAAGGTGGGTGACTTTGACTTTGGATCCCTTATTTCACATGTGAGACAAAAGCCTTTGGCAGAGGATATAGTGACTGGTCACTGCAAGATACAGTTCCTTGTCCAGCTCCAAGAGCCTCTGTTAGTTAGTGACAGTTCTTTCTCCCCGCCCCACTTGGCTTTTCAAGACAGGATTTCTCTGTGTAGTTTAGTCCCGGCTGTCCTGAAACTCACTCACTAAGTTGGCCTTGCACTCACAGAGATCTGCCTGCCTCTTCCTCTAGAGTGCTGGAATTAAAGGTGTACTGCCATAACCTAGCTATAGGGGCAGTTTTTGTGAATAACAGGTCTCTTGTTCCTTTTACTCTCTCAGCCATGACCCAGGTAGGATGGTCTTGCTAAAGAACCTGAGTATGGCTGGGATAAGGTGTGTGTGTGTGTGTGCGTGTGTGTGTGTGTATGTGTGTGTGTGTGTGTGTGTGTGTTCCAGCATGCTTACATGAGTGTATGTATGTGTGTGTCTGTGTGCGCCTGCTGCGCTGTTCCTGGGAATGTGTATAGTATTTGGTTTTCTCATGGGCAGGGGCTAAATCTTCAAAGATGTGGGCGTGACAGAAGACTCAGTGGCAAGTAGACATGGTGGTCACCATTTCCCTTTGCTAACTTTTTTTAAATATAATTTATTTATTTTATGAGCATTGGTGTGAGGGTGTCAGATCTCCTAGAACTTGAGTTACAGACAGTTGTGAGCTGCCATGTGGGTGCTGGGAATTGAGCCTGGGTCCTCTGGAAGAGCTGTCAGTGCTTTGAACTGCTGGGCCATCTCTCCAGCCCCCTCCTTTTGCTAAGGTTAAGAAAGTTTCCTGGGCTAGCTGGAAAAGAGTTGACTTTAGGCAAGGTCCACGCACATCGGAATCCGATGCTCCCAGGGTATGCGGAACACCACCCTGGACAGGCGAGCCTTGAAGGTCAGTTAGTTGTCTTACTTCATTCTGACCCACAGCGAGGTGTAGAGGTACCCAGAAGGCCATTTTTCCAGGGGATCAGGCCTGCATTGTTCCTGGTGGGTTGCTGGCCTTTCTCGAAGGTTCCCTTTCTTCAAAAACTTCCTTTTACACCTCTTTACCACTTCAGGTTTAGGAACCACACATGTGTAGAGCCTCACCAGAAAGAGTAGTAGCAGTTGATGGTAACTATGTGTCTACTCATTTGGGTAACTGTGTGTCTACTCATTTGAGAAACCGCCAGCTCTTCCCCAGAGTGGCTACACCATTGTACATTTCCACCAGCAGCGTGTGATGTAATTGCTCCAGATCCTTGTCAACACTTGTTACTGTCTTTTTTAGCACAGGCATTCTAGTGGGTGTGAAGCGGTATTTCATTGTGATTTTGATTTGCATTTCTCTGGTAACTGATAGTGTTAAGCATCCATCCGTATGCATTGGCCATTGTATACTTTCTTTGGAGAATGTCTATTAAACCCTTTGTGCATTTAAAAACAAATTGTGCTTATTTATTTATTTATCTGTCTATCTATTTTGCAGTCCTAGGATATGGTTATGAACCCAGAGCCTTGTACATGCTCGGCAAGCCTTTTTTTTTTTTTTTTTTTTTTTTTAACTTTAAGATATAGCCTCATATCAGGCTTCTGAAGAAAGAGAGCTTTCAAGAAAGGCTAGCAACCCACCAGGAACAATGCAGCTCTCATCTCCTGGCTCAAGCTGGCCTCAAACTCTCTATGTAGCCTAGGATGACCTTGAACTTCTGAACCTCCTGCTTCCACCGTCTGAGTGCTAGAGTTGCATGCATGTATCATTACTCTCAGTTTGATGCAGTGCTAGGTATCAAACCCAGGGCGGTGTACTTGCTAGGCAAGTACTCTGCCAACTGGGTTACATCCTAAGTCCCCTTTCCTCTTTCTTTCTTTCCTTCTTTCTTTTTTAAATGACGTCTCACTTAGTTGCAGGGGTGGCCTAAACTTACTGTGTATCCCAGGCAGGCTTGGATCTGCAGTCTTCCTAAGCAGCTGGGAAGTCCCCAGCTCCACAGGGTCCAGTTTATTTTCTTTGGGGCCAGGATCTCACTGTGTGGCGTGTAGCCTTCCTGCTTCTTCCTCCCTAGTGCGGAAGTGTGAGCCACCGTGCCCAGCCTTGCTTCTCACTCAGCTTGTTTAGCCTCTGCATTATTTATGCTCGTGGTTCGTGGAATTAATCATGTGGATAATCCAAAAACCATTTCTGTGAGGAGATGCAACAGACTTGCCTTCCAATCCGATGTGCTTAGCCGGGCCTTCAAAAGGGTCTGTGTTCCCTGATGCACTCGATGCTGCCAAAGGGAAAGAATTGGGCTCAGGACCCTGTGGAGAGTAAAGCAAGTGCACCTCTTCTGGGACCTTTCCTGCTACAAAACGTTAAGTTCCCTTTGTCTACCAGGTAACGTTTCTTTGTCGCTTTCTGATACTTGAGGCTTCACAGTCCATAGACTCAGACAGCCAACCTTAACCTTCCTTCCCATCTTCCAGACGGGGAGATACTAGCACAGTTACAACAATCTTGCTTGTTTTGCCTTCATCCTCAGACCCCAACTCCCTCCTTTTTTTTTTCTGCTCATCCATCGTTCAGCTCAACATTTATCAAGCAACTTTTTAGTTTCAGCCATGTGTTAAGAGTTCTCAGCCAAGCAAAGAAATCAGACATATAAAGAAATAATTCCTTACCCTGGCCTGTGAGATGGCTTAGCAGGTAAAGGTGTCTGCTGCCAAGCCCGAGGAAGAAAGAGAGAAATGGCTCCTGGTCATTGTTCTCTGACCTACACGCATGCGCCTTGGCACTCATGCTAAACAATAAATGAATAAGTAAATGCAATTTTTAAAAGCTTGCCTTAAATGTGCTACTTAGCTTGTAAAGATGTGTGGAGAACTGAGAGTTAACTGAACCTGGGGAAGCAGGGAGCCTTTCAAGACAGGACTGTCATTTAGCCAGATCTTGGATTATTCTTATGGTCTCTATCCTTTCCATTCTTTCTACTTAGCCTCTTGTTTGTTTTTCTTTTTTCTTGAGACAGGCTTTCTCTGCTGCGTAGTCCTCGCTGTCCTGGAACTTGCTCTGTAGACCAGGCTGGCTTTGAGCTCACAGAGCTCCAATTGCCTCTACCTCCCAATTGCTGGGATCAAAGGCATGTGCCACCACCAACACCACCACCACCACCTGGCTATCCTTTTCATTCTTATTGCCCTAATCTATCATCTGAAATGTTGTAATGGTCCCATAAATGATCTTCCTGCACGTTTGGGCACACGTGCACACAAAATAAATAAATGGGGGGAAAGACATAGAAAAGAAAATTCATTAAATATACTGATGTTACAGTCTTAGCTTCAGCCTGGGATTTAATTAATAAAAGCAATTGTTATTTTAATTAATTAACCTTTTTTGTTTGTTTGTTTATTTTTGGAGACAGGGTTTCTCTGTATAGCAGTCCTGGCTGTCCTGGAACTCAAGCTGTAGACCAAGCTGGCCTCGAACTCACAAAGATCCGCCTATCTCTGCCTCCCAAGTGCTGAGATTAAAGGC